GGACATGATACCTTTGAGCAATCCATCGTAATCCTCAACCATTTGCTTGTCCAACTTCCATCATATTCATCAAAGGTGCCAAGTGCATTTATCAGAAAAGAACCACACAAGATCCCAACCAAAACCATAAACCGTGTCGCGCCCTCAACCCTGCCACCGCACCTGCCAGTTCAGGAACCCCACGTGTCCCGAGTTCCGTGGTCCTCAGCGTCGAGGAGCTTCGGCACCACCAGGAAGTTCCGACGCTTCCTGCGAGCGCCATGCAGCTGGTGTTGCCTCGTCCGGTGATCAGTGGAGCTTCCAGTGACCAGGTTGGTTGGGTCTGGTGAGCAGGTTGGCTGGGTTCTCCTCCAGCATGGATGTTTCTGGATGCTACACAAAGTAGAAGAAAGACCTGGTAACGGTCCAGGTCTTTAAGCCACGTGTCGCAGGTGTCTGCGTCTGTGTTCAGCTCGGATGCAGATCGGGTGGACCGGGTGGAGAAGGGAAGGCGAGGAGCAGCACATGGAAAGGTGTGACCTCACTGGAACTAGGTGCCCTTACTAGTTGAATTGATGGAGAATCTGTATGAAGGTAGGCTCTTGATGATTTCACCCCCCATATGAAGAGGATTTCCAAATTAAATGAGTGGGTTGATTGATCAAGAGTCTACTGTACTTTATCTTCCATTAATGAGTTCTCTTATGTTCTGATGACAGCTTTTGTTGGCTCCACATCGCTTCAACGACTGAGCCGCGACCATCCCGACGCCTCGACTGCCTAGGTATGACCTACTGAAGTGACAATGTTGCCCATGCCGCCGACTGCGATGTTTACAAACATTGACTGAAACATTCCAGGACCACGGAAAGGGTGGTTCATGGACACCCCTTGACGTCTTTAAGGGGATATTAATGGACACCCGGAATCCGTGGTGCCGGTTTGTGTTTTTCAGTTGACAGCTTGTTTCCATCGGATGGATGGATGGATGGATGGATGGATGGATGGATGGATGGATGGA